CCCCAAAACCCCAAAACCCCGCATATAAAAATGCAGCCTTAAATTTTGGATAAATTTATTATATTATTTTAGACTATCTATCACATTATTCACTCAGAATCAGGTTTCTGAAAAATTGTAACTTTAACTTTTATAATTATTTTATTAGCAATATACTTCATTCTCAAGCAAATTTATCTTATCTTTACCCATGAGGCACCCAATGTATATTATGTGAGATTACTGGTCTTCCAGGATGACCTTGATTCTTTAGTATTTGAAGCAAGAATTCTCTGTCAGTAAACAAAATATAGTTACCTTAATGATATCTCAAAATTTTGAAGTTTTCCAATACGTACATAATATCTGTAGGAGTAATGGATGTCATATTAGACAAATCTTGAATAGACAAGGATCTATCGTTTTCCAAGAGAATGTTTAGAAGCTTTTATGCCCACCAACTAACATAAGTTCGATGCCCAAGATCAGATAAAGGTCTTTCAGGGGATCCGACCTTTTGTTCTTTCTTTGATAGCTCATAGGAAAATTCAATCAAAAATTTACCATAGCCTTTACGTTGGCAAAATGGCATAACCAGAATACAAGAAAGATTGTTTTCAACACTCACTTTTTCTTTTGAAAAATATCCTACCATGTGATATCCCATAGCATCATGCTCGCATAAGACATAAAAATGGAAAGGATCAATATCATAATATAGTGTCTTATGATCCAAGAATAACTTTGCTATAAGGCATATATTTTCGCAATATGCCTACTAATTTTTCCCATCTATTTCAAACATAGAGACAGATTCATCTCTATAAATTTCATCACCAGGCGGACATCTTACTTCGCATCTCTCTGAGTGTCTAATTAGTTCATTTTTGTGAACGAAGAAGAATAAACAAAATTCGCAAATGTACAGAGTCCTGCAGTGAAACTCCTTAGGAAAGGGAGCAAAATACCAGGCTTCTACTCTATGCTATCCAATTTCTATATACTCAACTGACTTTACCTTAGTTGATTCCTCGAACTCATGAATTTGCTTTTCATTTAACCCATGATGCTCATCATTGTACAAGAAATCAGCGTTTTCTTTTAACAACCTGACTTTTTCTTCGTACTTTGAAAGTTCAATATCTAATTCATCCTCATTTATTCTCAATTCATCTTCTGTTATATATCTATCATTTCTTCGCTAGTGGCCTAGATAGTTTACATAGTATTCAAATTTTTGGTTTGGCTGCAAGACTCTTTTAGGTTTAATTTGCTCAATTATTTGGCCATTTTCATTCATTTTAACATCTTCCCCTTCTAATTCTATTCCTCCTCCTGCAATTAATAACTCAGCTGGCTAATTAGCGCTTCCTAGTGCAATTCTAACTTCAATAATCTTAGCAATGTGATATTCTTCACTATTTCTCATTTTGGCCATGATATAAGTATTCTTTTTAATAGCTCCCGGATATTCATTTTCTTCTACTGCTGCGGGGATCGTAGAATTTCTAAATTTTTATGCAGCTACATCTTCGTAGGTCTTACCCTTGCCTTTGCCTGTTTTTCTTTAACTCATTTATTGTCAAATTATTTTAAATTTTAATAAATAATTATAAACTAGTAAAAATATTCAGTAATATATTATGCTTCGTTGTGGGGTTTTGGGGTTTTGGGGTTTTGGGG